TTGTTTTAATGGCATTGAATAGCTGCCTTCAGTCACCTTCAGGTTCGAGAAAGGCAGGGTAGAAATATCGTAAAAAATAAAATAACAAAGAAGATCTCAGCTGAAGTAGTTATTGTCCACAATGTATTTATTTTTGGGTATTTATTTATTTATTTATTTTATTTATTTCTTGCACTTATTAACCGCCACTCTCAGCCCTAGGGCGACTCGTGGCGGTGTACAACAACATAAAAAAGACGGTTTACAATAGATCAAGACAGTAACAACATTCTACTACTACATAACAACTACTTATGCTAAAAATCCGCTTCGTCGTATCATGGGGTCATAATCAATCTCATAGTCGTAGTCCATTCCGGTCGTCATTTCCAATAACATAGCACTCAGTTGAAGGCCATCTCGAAGAGCCATGTTTTCAGGCCCTTACGAAAGGCCATAAGGGAGGGCGCCTGTCTAACTTCAGCAGGGAGGGAGTTCCAAAGCCGGGGGGCCACCACCGAGAAGGCCCGCTCTCTCGTCCCCGCCAAACGTGCCTGTGAGGCAGGCGGGACCGAGAGGAGGGCCTCCCCAGATGATCTCAAGGTCCTCGTGGGCTCGTAGGCCGAGATGCGGTCTGCAAGGTATTTTGGGCCGGAACCGTTTAGGGCTTTGTAGGATAACACCATATTGTGCTGTCCATATGGCCATATTGTGCTGTCTATTGGGTTCTTTTTTCCATTCCCAGCATGGCATGGACATGTCACTTTTTCTTCAAGGGTAGGAATCACATGGCCCTCTGATGCTGTTTGATGGCAACTCCCAACTTTCCCCACCATTAGCTATGCTGGTTGAGGCCGATGCAAAATGCACTCCAACAACCGTGCAAAGAGCCAAGTAGTTCCCAATTGCATTCTATGTGGTTCTTAAAGGTGGAGTGCAATCAGACTCAGACCTATGTGTATGAGTGTGCAAGGAGCTGAGGTTGTTTTTTGAAGAATGATGTGAATTGTTCAGGATGTCAGAGGATGTTTGGCCTGTGGCTCATCCATTCTACAGCTTTGAAACAAAGGGCTCACATTAATCCTGTTCAAAGTGCTGCATCTGTATGTATGGAAATAATCTCTAAGCAAGAGCATGAAGAAGGAGGAAAACAATGTGTTGAGAGGAAATGCCTATAAATCTTGTGTTGTAAGAGTCTGCCTTCCTCATCACTTCTAATATTTGATAGCTTTAGTGTACTCAGGAATGGAAGTCTTGTCTCTTTTGTCTATACATTTTCATACATTCTCTTATGATGCTGAAGCCTTTGCACAGCCCTAGAGTCACGCTTTGGAACTTGGCCAATGTATATGTCTGTGTGAGAACGCTCTTGGACGTGCTCCACCAGCCAATTCCTCATTGACAGCACATGGCTCTGAAGCTGAAACAGAATTCTTCTGGATGTGAGCACTAAAAACAATACAAAGCAAAAAAATATACCATAGCTGGGAGGTGGGGGTGGTATGCCTTTTGCGGGGGAGTATACTTCCTTCCAGGCAACATGGCTTGTGGGGGAGTCTGGAATGAACAGTCCAAAAAGGAATTTTCCCCAAGGTCCACAAATATCCCTGAAGCAATGGGGAAAAACACACACACACACACAAAATGCTTTGGAGAGAGAAGGCAAAGCTGAAGGGCATATGGAAGTCTCCATAATATAAAACAATATCTATATTTAAAAGTCAAAGTATGTATGTGTGTGTGTGTGTGTATTAGTCAGAGGGCTGTATCAGACTAGTGCTTTAAAGTGGGCAGCTTTACATTTTTGGTGTCTTCTGACACCTGCAGAATTCTGGGAAATGTAGTTTAGGGTGGGGTCTTTAGAATTCTCAGCTACAGAGGTCCTCGCCTTCCCAAACTACATTTCCGAGAATTCTGCAGGTGGCAGAAGCCGGCAAACATACAGGCTATGTTTTAGAGCGCTAGTCTGATACAGCTCATAGTCTGTCTATCTGTCTGTTTGTATTCACAAACATTCATGTAATTATGCTGGGGAAAGTGGAAGGTAAAAGGAAGAGGGCTGACCAAGGGCAAGATGGATGGATGGCATCCTTGAAGTGACTGGACTGACCTTGAAGAAGCTGGGGGTGGTGACGGCCGACAGGGAGTTCTGGCGTGGCCTGGTCCACGAAGAGTCAGAGACAATTGAACGAATGAACAACAACAAAACCTTTTAGTTAAAATATGCACACAGAGATAAAAAAAGTCTTCTTTGAAAAATAACATATCTTGTTTACTCAAATACAACTTGTATTAATTCATTATTCAGGCACATTTCTTATTAAAGTTCAGTTAGATAGGATGTAGTTCTCTGTGTTGAGTACACAGGGTAACAATCTTTAACAATTATTCACAGTCTTTAAGTCTAGCTGTACTCACTCAAGTCCATAAGTCATGCTTCTCTATTAAAGTCCAAATAGCAACCTGTTTTCATTGAAGTTCAAATATATATTTACAGGTCCACTGAGGCGGAAAGCAGACATGTCCACCTCCAAGCAGACACTGAATACAAAAATGAAATCCCGAGTCTGCACATGCTCAGTATAATCACGTCTGTAACATCTCCCACACCAAAGAGGTAAGTAAACTTGCAAATCAACATATACATAGAATACAGGTTAGCAAATATATACATTAACAAATAAATAGTGAAAGACTTGCGAGGTTGCTATTTCCAACTGAAGCTGTGACCCCCTCTTTGCCATGATGCTGCTCCTGGCCTTTTTGAATGTCTGGGAAGGAAAATGATGGGGCGGTGAGCCTCTTGAGGTATGTATTTATCGTATCAGAAGCGAGCTGAGGGTACAGTTGTAGTGTATTTAAAAACACAAAGAAAGTTTTAAAAACTTGGCATTATACTACATGTCCTTTAACCAGTAGCTGGCCATTTAGAGTACCTCTGGTGTTGCTATAAGAAGGTCCTCCATTGTGCATGTATCAGGGCTCAAGTTGCATTGTATTAGGTGGTCTGTGTTTTGCTCTTCTCCATACTCATATGTCGTGGACTCCACTTTGTGGCCCCATTTCTTAAGTTTGACTCTGCATCAGCACCTTCCAAGTTGCCCAGACTTCTGTGTGCCCAGGAGGGAGTCTCTCATCTGGTATCAGCCATGGATTGAGGTGCTGGGTTTTGGCCTGCCACTTTTGGACTCTCGCTTGCTGAGGTGAGCTGGGCCAATTGAGATGGGTAAAGATTGTAAAACCCATGGGTGAGATGGATAGAAAGTGCTATGTCTAGTGGGAGGCTCGGGTGGGATAGACAATGAGGTTAATCTCCACTGAGGGATGAGATGAAGTGCATCAAAAAGACAAATTGGCACTGGGACGGAACATGGCATGGAAATTAGTTGTTCATTCCCAACAGTGTAATTTCTCCAGTGGTGTAGGGCGCCGACACCCCGTGATAATGAGGCATGGCTCATTAAGAGCCACATCCACTGTTTTAGCGTGGTGAAATTTGGATGTGGCTCTTAATGAGACATGCCTGCGCCCTACACCACCTGAGAAATTACACTGTTTAGCCGGTATTGCACCACTTGACATCCGCCGGGAAGTAGCAACCAATGGTGAAAGGACCAAGGCAGTGACATCTCCGGCCCATCCTGTTTGGATATCAGCCAGCAAGCCAATGACTTAAATCAAGAAATAGTTTTTTAAGATCTATAGAGACACTCACTGGCACACCTCAGCAAGCGAGAGTCTAAAAGTGGCAGGCTAAAACCCAGAACCTCAACCCATGGCTGATACCAAATGAGAGACTCCCTCCTGGGCACACAGAAAACTAGGCAACTTGGAAGGCACTGAACAGACTGCGCTCTGGCACCACGAGATGCAGAGTCAACCTTAAGAAATGGGGCTACAAAGTGGAATCCACGACATGCAAGTGTGGAAAACAGCAAACCACAGACCACCTACTACAATGCAGCCTGAACCCTACCACACGCACAATGGAGGACCGTCTTATAGTAACACCAGAGGCACTCCAAGGGATATTTAATAGAATGCCAAGTTTGCAAACTTTGTGTGTTTTTAAAAAGTGTTCGGTTCACTCCTGACACAATAAATAAATAAATTCCCAACAGGACAAAGCTGTGGGGCAGGGCCTTCTCTCTGTGTGTGCTTGTGTCACTCCGGCTTTCCCTTTTCCACCACCAGCAATTGCAGCCAGTCTTTGGACAAAGGAAAGTTTCTTCTTTGAGCGAGGGAGAGCTTCCAGCGTGGCATCTGATATCTCGTCTCAAATGACAAGTTTGGAGAGAAGAGGATCTGAGGATCTTCAGACACACACAGCAGCAATTGTATTTTTGGATTGGCCTTCAAACCACATAAGTGTGTGTGTGTCAGTTCTTCAAAGTCCCAGTGTGTGTGTGTGTGTGTGTGTGTGTGTCAGTTTTTTAAAGTCCCAACCTCAGGAAAGAAGTATTCCTTGGGAAGTTCTGTTTGGATCTGAGGATCTTCAAACACACAGAACAGCAATTGTATTTTTGGATCGGCCTTGAAACTGCAGGAGTGTCTGTGTGTCAGTTTTTCAAAGTCCCAGTGTGTGTGTGTGTCAGTTTTTCAAAGTCCCAACCTTAGCAAAGAAGTATTCCTTGGGAAGTTCTGCTTGGATCTGGGGATCCTCAAACACACTGAGCAGCAACTGAATTTTTGGATCGGCCTTCAAACCGCAGGAGTGTGTGTGTGTCAGGTTTTTCAAAGTCCCAACCTTGGCAAATAAGTATTCCTTGGGAAGTTTTGTCTGGAAGGTTAGGAAGTGCAATTTGAAGGCAAGGCACATCCCCCACTATATAAGTTCTCTCCTGAGTCTGTGAAGCCACAGGACACCCGCAGGATTTTGTACACCGTGCAGGCCAAAAGCATCTTATTCAAAAAAAGGAGAAAGAAAAGAAAAAGGTTTGGGGGAGGAAGAGGAGGAGAGGAAGACTGAGAGAGAGAGAGAGAGAGAAGCGAGAGGCACATGAATCCAGGCAGGTCACGTGAGGGAGGGGAGGTGCGGGGCTGGCGCCTGGCCAGTGGCAGAAGCTGATGGGTGGAACAAACCGGGCATGAAAAGGAGGAAGGGGAAAAAAAAAGAAGGCAAGAGGGAGCCAAGGCGAAGATGACTAACGGATCCGAGCACCGGGGCTCCCGAGGTGGCTCAGTCTCCGGGAATGTAAGGCAGCCGGCTTCAGGCTAGATCTGAAAGAGAGAAAGAGAGAGAGATTGACTCCTTCCTGCTGCTTTTTGGGGGGTAGCAAGAGAGACCATGGCCTGCGTCTTGAAGGTAAACCTCTCTCGGTGGCTTGAATGGATTGTTGAAAAGGAGAGGGGGGAAAAGGACCCCAAAGAGAGAGAGAGAGAGAGAGAGAGGGAGGAGAGGAGGGAGGCGTTGCGGCCCCGCTGCTGCATCTCAGTTGTGATGGTTTTCCTCTCCCCTCTCCGTTTGGGAAAGCAGAAAGAGGCATCCTGAGGTTCACCTCCTCCTTCCCTCCCTCCCTGCCTCCTCTTTGCCTGCACTCTGGGAACTGCAGGCGACCCAATAGTGGGGAGGTGGAAGGATTGAGGAGGAGGAAGGGCAGGCTTTTCCTTTTGGACTTCTTTCCTTTTCTATTGCCTCATCACACCAGAGAGAAAAAAAATCCACTTAAAATCCGGTTTCTGCCTCCTGCAGAATTCTGGGGTTTGTAGTTTAGGGAGGGACCTAGAACAGCCTCACTGAACTAGTAAAGGCAAAGTTTCCCTTCTGACATTAAGTCCAGTCGTGTCCAACTCTGAGGGTTGGTGCTCATCTCCATTTCTAAGCCAAAGAGCTGGCATTGTCTGTAGACACCTCCAAGGTCATGTGGCCAGCATGACTGCATGGAGTACCCTTATTTTCCCACCAGAACAATACCTAGTGATCTACTCACATTTGCATGTTTTCGAACTGCTAGGTTGGCAGAAGCTGGGGCTGACAGTGGAAGCTCACGCTGAGATTCAAACTTGCGACCTTTAGTCAACAAGTTTAGCAGCTCAGCGGTTTAACCCACTGCGCCACTGGGGGCTCATTAAACTACAAACCCCAGAATTTTGCAGGAGACAGAAACCAGACTTTAAGTGGAATTTTCCCCTCTAGTGTGATATACCACTTCATCAGACTAGAGAAAAAAATCCACTTAAAATCGGGTTTCTGCCTCCTGCAGAATTCTGGGGTTTGTAGTTTAGTGAGGCTGTTAAAGGCCCCTTTCTAAACTACAAACCCCAGAATTCTGCAGGAGGCAGAAACCAAATTCTAACTGGTTTTTTTCTCTAGTTATAAAGGGGCCCCCAATGATGCCCAGGAGACTCTAGAGGCAACTTCCCTCCCCTTGTCTTTTGCATTTTGGACCTGCAGTGCTCAACTTCAGGGTGCTTCCAAGGCCTGCGAAAACCAAACTTCCAGGTGGCTCCACAAGCACAGACACAGGCCCAATACATGTCTGACCCCCCCTTTCGAGAGGGAGCCAATTTTATCCCCCAAAGCATCTCATGCACCTTTGGCTTCTACTGGCCTCCAGGCAGGACCTCTCTCTGTTTGGCCCCCTTCCTTTGAGGCAAAACAAGGCCTCTTCTCAGCCCACCACCCGATTCAAACATTTCACAACTTTCCCAGACTCACAGAGATGTCTCAGTGGAGGTATTTCTGCATCACTCCCACTCCCTTTTCTTCCCTTATCTAGAAAAGCATGTGCAGCCCAGAGCCAACATAGTTCTCTCCTCCTCTTCCAAGCAGAATCACTGATTGCTCTTCTCCCTCACCAGGAAACCCTGGCTCTCAGTTTTGGTGTTTCTCAGTACAGTTGTTGGCTGAAATTTATCTACAATATGGGAGAAAGTCCAAAACACTTGCCACTTCATCACACTAGAGAAAAATCCACTTACAATCCAGTTTCTGCCTCTTGCAGAATTCTGGGGTTTGTAGTTTAATGAGGCTGTTAAAGGCTTCTCCCTGAACTACAAACCCCAGAATTCTGCAGGAGGCAGAAACCGGATTTTAAGTGGATTTTTTCTCTAGTGTAATGTTGGAAGCTCCTTCCAGAAATGAAAGCTCTAGACTACAGGTGTTGCTGCCAACTCTGTTTCAGGGCATCTGTTTTGCATGATGTTACGTTGTCCTCTTTTTCACAATGTGTTGCTACAAGGTAAAGCGATGCCTACTCTCTCTCCAGCCCCTAATCTCAAATACATTGCAAGTATGAAGTCATTGTGCTCAGGCCTCCAGTTTACTTACTTAGGCAATCCCTCATAGCTCGAGGATGATGGTCCTCCAAGTTTAGTGTCTTGGCAGTGGATCCATAGGTGGCTGTGGAGCCCTATTCTTGATCCACATGTTCTACCACAGTGAGCACATCAGTTTCTAGGTGGAAGGCGGTTCCGATTAGGGTTGGTTTGACATGCCTTCCTCTTGGCACTTTTCTCTCTTTTAATCTCCACTTGTTCCTCTACAAATTCATCATCACTGCTAGTCACAGCTGGTCACAGCCTCCAGTAGCTCAATTTCATTTTCTCCTTCCAACAGCATCTCAAATATTCTGCATATGTTGGAAAGTTTGAAAACTCTTTTTTAAAAAATCCTAACAATGTGTTTGTCCTCCTGCAAATATTGGATTGTTCATTACTTGATATATAGATGAATCGTGGTGGCGCACAATGGGTTCAACCCTTGTGCTGGCTGGACTGCTGACTTGATGGTTGGGTTGCTGACCTGTAGGTTGCATGTTCAAATCCGTGAGAAGAGGTCAGCCCCCGTCTGTCAGCTCTAGCTTGTGGGGACATGAGAGAAGCCTCCTAGCAGGATGGTAACACATCTGGGCATCACCTAGGTAACGTCTCTGTAGATGGCCAATTCTTTCACACCAGAGGTGACTTGCCGTATGTTCTCAAGTAGCTTCTGACATGAATACACACACACACATATATTCCCCTCTTGTGTGTGGATAATAAGATTTGGGCTGTTAAAGACAGAACTCAGATCACAACTTAGACATAACTTTACTTACTTAGGAAACATTGCTTTTTGGGATGATCGTATTCCAAATCCCTAGTGGTCACCCTGATAGCCCAAAAGGTGACTTCTCCATGTATTGTTTTCAGTACTTTGCATGATCTCTTAGATTGCTAGGTCTGTGAAAACCAAACGTTGAGCAATGCTCTTCTGTTTATGCCAGTAACTACATTGTACAAAGTCAGTCCTTTTGATTCATTTGTCTCAGTGTTATCTTCACTGGCTGACAGTTTTGCTACAGAGTTGTAAACAGGGGTTTCCCCATACCCTTCAGATGCACTAATGAAGAAGTACACTGATATGCACGAAAGGCCATGCTACAATAAATAAGTTAGTTTCAAAGGTGTTGAGATACTTCCTGCACCCCCCCCCCTTGTATTGTTCTGTACTAAGTATACCATAGGGGTTGGGAAAAGTTCATTTTTTGTATTGCAACAACACCACCATACTGACTGGGGAACTGTAGTCCATAAAATAACTTTTGGAAGCTAAGCTACTATGTACAGTGGGCTCTTGGCATCTGCTGGGGTTTGGTTCTAGAACCTCCATGGATGCTTGAGTCTCCACACATTGATGTAGTAAATGATGTATAAAATAGCAAATCCAATGTTTGGTTTTTAGAAATGTTAGGGGAGAGGGTATCTTTAACTCATGGATGGGAAAGTCTGTGGTTGCAGAAAGTGGGGATGAAGAGGGATACAGCCCCTATTCAGAAAGACACTTAAACTACCAGGTTGCCCCTACCTTTAATCAGTTCATTTTGGAAATCATGACGAAACCGCTAACATTGATCATCACTGTATTTTTACTTCAATGAAAGGGTAGAAGTACTTGTGAGATTTTCTTCATCAGATGCCTGCTTGGATTATTCCAGAGCAGTGGTTCTCAGCCTGTGGGTCCCCAGATGTTCTGGCCTTCAATTCCCAGAAATCTTAACAGCTGGTAAACTAGCTGGGATCTCTGGGAATTGCCAAAGCACCTGGGGACCCACAGGTTGAGAACCATTGATTTAGAGCTTTACTTCCTTCATGAGTGAGGAGGAAGCTTGTTTCTGAATTTGCCAGTTTTGCTCAGTCAGAAAAAAAGTCTTCGGGTGATCCTGTAAACTACATACTTTCTGGATTTTGCTTACCATTTGGGGAGTTGTTGCTTTGGCTTCATCCTTTCTTTTTCTCTCCCAGCGGCACTTTTGAGGTATCCCAAATCAAATCACCAAACCCCTTGCTTATCACATTCCTGTCCTGGTTGTAAGAAGGCCTGGCTTGGAGAGTAATTTGAGTTGACTACTGAATTGAAAAAAACTTTTGAAGATAAAACTCCATTTTTATGTTGATTCAAAAGGATTTTACAGGAAAAGAAAGTTAGATGTTTTCTCTGAACTTTTAAAGATGGAAAAAGGGTTTTTTTAATTGTGTCAGAAGTAACTTGAGAAATACAAGTCACTTCTGGTGTGAGAGAATTGCCATCTGCAAAGATGTTGCCCAGGGGATATCCGAATGTTTTAGCATCTTGTGGGAAGCTTCTCTCATGTCCCTGCATGGGAAGCTGGAGCTGACAGAGGGGAGCTCACACTGTCTCGTGAATTCAAACCGTCAACCTTCAGGTCAGCAGGTCATCTGGCACAAGGGTTAAACCTATTGCGCCACCATGGCTCCCAATTGGAAAAGGTTATATCATTATCACCATCATTATTCTTCCCAGAATCTACTAGCCAAGATTCTGATAATTTTAGATCTGTGAATTTTTAATAAAAGTTGCTAATGAAAAATTAGCAGAATTTAGAAAAAAAATGAAGGCTATCTGGAAATGTTATAGTTGAAAAGTATTTCCTTCCTTTAAAAAACAAGAAAATTGAAAGGTATAGTTAAATCAAAGATATGGTTAGGTCCAAGTTAAATGTAACAAATAAATAAATAAATAAGTTCTTCTGCTCTGTTACTTTCCCTTAGTTTAAAAAGGGAAAAGTGGAGATCGTCTAATCAAATAGCCTTGTCTGGGCTAATGCTTAATCTTGTTAATGTAAGAAGGTGTGAGGATCAAAAGAGGAAGAGAGAGGGTGAGATTAGCCAGACCATAAGGCAAGCTTCATGCTTCCCCCTAAATATCTCACTAGCAGAGGAAAGCTCCAATATCACGAACTCTTATTTTTCTCATGGTGTATTGACAGTTTCAAATGTACACAAAAATGAGATGGTTAAGGACAGATTGCCTCCAAATGTTGATAATTTTATTAGGTTTTATTACGTTTTACTAGGTGCCTT